ATGAGCAAAACATATGATTTCTTATATTATCATGTAATTGTTGTATCACGTTTTTATGATTAGTCCAAGTTTGAGGGAATCTTAAGAAGTTCCTGAGGGTCCAAAAACCACACACATTCATGAATAATTTGCTGTCAGTAATGGCCCTGAGCACAAATGTACTTCTCTTATCCTGGGGCCCAATCTGAGGACCTCCAGCAGGTATCCCCCATGGAAATAATGACTTTTGAATCAGAAGTTACTCCCTGAATTTGTAAGAAGCAGAGATGATAGAGAGAAAGATAGATAGATAGATAGATGATAGATAGACAGACTCAGAGGCAGAAAGAGACTGCCACTACCAGGAGTTAATTGAATTAACTCTGAAATAAATTTAGGAAAGTGTACAAAACTCCAAAGTAAGTACATTGTGAATTGTACTCACTTCAAGGATCTCGTAAACAGCTGTACTACATTGGGAAGGCATTGGAAGTAGTTCAGGATATTGTGATCCCATACTGGGACCCCATTGAGTTTGACAGTGGCAAAGATTCAGGAGGGAACAGTGTAACTGCCTGAGCTGAAGGTCACCATGGTGGGACTCCTCAGTGAGAGAGCTGTGGTAGGAAGGGAGTCCTGAGCCTTCAGATAGCTCCACAGGCAAAATATGGCAGCCGGCAGATCCAGGACTCCTCAGCTTCGGGTCTGAATGATTGCTTGTCAGGCAGATGTGTTTGTAAACTAATGACTTTCACAGTGTGATGAGATTGAAAAAGAACCCTAATTGCTTCCACTGATTTAACCCTTGGAATGCTTCCAGGCATGCCGATAGCCATGTGTCTTTAATCATGTGAGTTAATCACCTTCAGGGATACATCAAAAAACAGTGGCTTGTAGCAAGTCTGGGAAACACGACGGTTGTGTTATTAGGTTTACATTTCTGGGGCTGTCATCTCTTCAAATAAGGACACTGAGAGGTTGGCTATGGTGCCCTTAAACTAGTGTTTGTTAGTAGCAACTGACACAGGCAATTACATAGCCCTATAATTCAAAAAAATGAATTAAAATTTATGCATTTTTAATGATTTAACAAACTTCTAATGGTAGTGGAGTGAGAGTACCAAGTCACCTTGAGTCTTCTAAGGCCACCATGAACTTTAGTCCATCTCTGGAAGAAAATCAGAATTGGAAAATGGTCTAATAATCAGGCCAGTCTGATTAATAGTGACAATTAGTATTGGACTACAGTGCATAACCAACTGATTATGAATCATTTTAGCACTTTAGGTAAATTTTCAATACAGGCAATTAAAATAAAAAGACTCATGATCCTTACATAATGGCTTCATTAAATTAATTCAGCTCTGAGGTTGGAGAAAAAATTCTTTTATGGTAAGAAACCAGCAGAATTTAACTTCCATTCACTTTTAGTTAAAAGAATGCTGGAGAAAACACTTAAAAGATTTAGCACAGACACACACACACACACACACACACTACAATGCAAGCAGCTTATTCTTTTCTGAAAGTGAACTGTGTTACCGAGGAAGAAAGAAGTGAAGGTCAGAGCTTGGATCTATTCGCATGTCTTATTTGAATGAAGTAAATCTTGGCCTCAGTTATATTCTGTATTCTGCTAAGTGCATGCATTGCTAAGGTTAAAAGAACTGTATTGTGGAGCAATCTGTAAGGAAAAAGACACTTCAAAGAGATAAATACTTACTTCTGTGACATAAACAATTGTCTCAAATCATTTGTTTCATGATAAAAGACAAAGCTGGAGCCAAGTCCAAATACTGTGGTACAAATGTAGTCACAAGAATAAAGATTCCTTTAGGTGAAATGCAGTCATTCAATCAAAGCAGCATAGTTTTGTAAAATTAGACAATGGGAATGGAAGGAGAAGAGGCTCTCTAAGAGTAAGGGAGAGTTGAAATATTCCACAGTAAAATCAGTTTCTGTTACAGCTTTTGAGTCAGGGAGTCACTTTACTTCCAAGACTCCTCACTTAATACCTAACACATATTCAGCTTTCTAGTTTACCAGAGGCATTTGTATTTAAGTTGTGTAAATATTCGGTAAGCTACAATTTATGTGATTTAATAACAGCCAATACTTAATTATCAATTGAGAATTTACAAAAAACCCAAATATTATTTCTAATTTCTTTTTTTCCTATCGCAATTCTTAAAGATGAGAAGGGATGTCTCACACAGTTAGCATATTAAATTTTTCTAGAATCACAGGGCTAGTAACAACTAGTTAAAGCTAGGTGTTGAGCTTTGTCCTCTGACTCTGGGTTCTTGTTCTTTATACTATCACCTGTCCCTCTCTTAAAATTATTTCCTTTACATGCTTAATGATCTTTTTCATAATTAATCCTTTCATCTACTCTGTTCTTTTCTAGGTGTCTCAAAGTGAAAACCACTTTAAATTCTAGATTATGTATGATGATCTTTCTTCCCTCTGGTTTACATTTTATTCCCAGAATGAAGTCTCTTTCTCTGAAGACATGTACTGCATTACTAGTTCAGAACTTAACCTTCACAGCAGAGAGCGAAAACTGAGCCAGTAGTTGAACTCCTTTGGTAACTACAGCCTGACATAATTCTTGGATACCAGTCTCTCTGCTTTTAGAGCATTATACCCTATGCAAAAAAACCTGTGCTAGTTCCTTCTTACCTTCTGTATCAAGTCTAGAATTCCTCCCTGGCTTTCAAATTCTCTTAAAATCCAATACCACTTCCACTCAAATAGCCCATTACTTTCTAACACATTCTCCAATTTAGTATGTAGACTCTTACAATTCCTCTTACACACACACATAGCTCTTTCCCTTTACCAAAATCTTCCCCCCAACCTGGAATTCTGCTCTTCTTTGTCTTCTCCTCCCTTACTTCACTGCAATATAAGCCTAGTCTTTGCCTGTTTGGCTCACCACTGTGTCCCTATGTATAAAGAAATTCCCTGGCACACAACAAAGTCTTAGCATATATTTATAGACTTAATGATTGACTGCCCTTCAAAGCCCACTTCAGAGCTAATCCCTTTCTTAGCCTATGCTATTTTCTCTGAAAACATTCATCTTTGTTTTCACTAGGAGATTATAAATTCCTTGAAAATGGAGTCATGACTTATATGACTTTGCATCTCCCAAAGTGGTATGATAACATAAGGAAAGTAAATATCATTCTTTGGGGAAAAATACATAGGTATGGATCATAAAATATAGATTCATTGATCACATACTATTTGTCAGGAACTGTTCTAACATCTGAGATGATAACCTAGATGAACTGAACTTGAGCCCCACACTGCTACTACCTATATAGCTTGAGTTGATTCATTTAAATTCCCTGAGCTTTGGGCTCTTTCTCTAGGAACTAAGAGGGTTAGACTACATTAGCCTTATTGCATTTTCCAGCTTTGTGTTCTCTGAAATTTAACTATTTATTTATAGATTAATGAGTGGTGCTCAATGAATACTTAATTATCCAATGATAGAATCTTTACTCTCCTAAGCCCTGATTATTAATTAAAATAGTGAGATCTATTTTCAATTTCTTTTCATGTATTTATTTGTTCAACAAATATTTATTGGATATTATACATGAGAAGCAGTGTAGTAAAAATGCTAGAGAGGGCTGGGCATTGGTGCTTCATGCCCGTAATCCTAGCTACTTGGGAGGGAGAGATCAGGAGGATCGTGGTTCAAGGCCAGCCTTGAAAATACCCAACACACACAGACACAGACACACACAGACACAAACACACACACACAAAGTGGGCTGGCAGAGTGGCTCAAGTGGTAGAGCACCTGCCTAGCAAGTCTGAGTCCCTGAGTCTGTAATCTTAGCTACTTAGACGCAGAGGCAGTATGATTCCTAGTTTGAGCTAGCCTGAGCAAAGTTAGTGAGACCCTATCTCACAATCAAACTAAAGGACTGTGGGTGTGGCGCAAAAAGATAGTATTTTCTATGTTTAGGTCATGAGGCAAAGAACACTTGCAATTTATATGAAATAAATATAGTATAGCCTCTGTATTGGAGGAAATCTAGTGCTGATCTCTAAAGGCTGAAATGACTCATTTATAATCTAAACATAAATCATGCATCACCATATATTTTCTTGTCCATAGGATATTCCACAACTTGGTTCACTAGTATATGAGAGGAATGACCTCTCCCTAGCTTTGATTTACTTCATGAAAAGGGCCCTTCTTACCCAGTTTTATAGAGACATAATTGACAAACAAAAATTGTATATATTTATAACATACAGTGTGATGCTGTAATATATACATATATATATATACACACACATACATGTAGACATATATATTGAAATGATTATCACAGTCAAACTAACACATTGATTCTCCTCACTTACTCACCTTTTGTCATGTGGTGAGGACATTTAAGATCTACTCTAACACTCTTCCTAATCTTTTTAAATTCTGGATTGGAAGAGAGACTTTGGCCTTTATACCTTTTCATCCTCAAAATGTGTTTTACTTGGCATCATTTCCTAGGCTTTAGAAACACTCTTCTGTCTTGGGTTTAATCTAGAATGTTTTTCAGGACATTTTCCACAAAGAATCCTTTCATATTCATTGCAGGCTCTGCCTTGAATGATATTTGCGTCTCAGGTTCCAGAAAGCTGGTTCTCCTGCTCCAACTCTAACTTGCTTGCAATGCCTTTTACTCTTTCTCTACAGCCATAGTTGTGTTAGCAGATGTGCCTCAATGAGCTGAAAGACTGGTTTTTGGTTAATGTGTCTTTTTGAAAAGTTTGGAGAATGTATCTACAGTAGGAATTCTTCATACATTCAATGTTAGCTAGAACATGATCACATTTTGTAAATATCTTTTTTGAATTAGCAAAACTAAGAAAATCAAGGGTAGCCTTGTGTTGGGCATATTTATTCTCTGTAGTAAAGAAATGATGACTACCGTCCTCTTCTTAAATAGTAGATTGGATTAACAAATAATACAACTTACCTAAATCTGCTTTTTTTCCAGTCACAATATTCTTCTCTATGAGGATGGGCATGCTGTGGTGGCAGACTTTGGAAGTGAGGTTTCCAAAAATAGTACCCCATCCCAAATGACTTCCATTTCTTCATTCCTTCTTGGTGTCCCAATACTGTACAATAAATCTGAAAACAGATTTCATACTGACAGATACATTTCTGTAAGTCGTTCAAATTTCAATTACCCTGAATTTTGAAAATGTATTATTTGTTTTTTAGTTTTTCCCCTTTTTGACTGATATCTCCAGTCAGCAGAAAGGAAGTGAGAATTTGAGTAAGACAAAGGCCTTTTGAGATTTAAGAATTTTAGCTGTGATCATTGACTTGGTTTTGAGATATTGCCTCTGACATGAATTTGTTTTCTCTTTCTTTCAGAATCAAGATTTCTACAGTCTTTGGATGAAGACAACATGACAAAACAACCTGGGGTTTGCTGCTGCTTTTGTTCTCTATAATTATAAAACAATTAAAATGTGTAAACTCAGCAGGAGAGAAAGGAAGAAGAAAGATTGCAGCTTAACTGGAAGAGATTCCATTGTCTCAGTGGCAGGATAATGTTTTTATGGTTTTATTTTCAGTAAGCCCCAAAATAACTATTTACAGGCTCTTCAGAGAAATAGATAAGTATATACTTGGAAAATTTTATAGATAAAATAATACAGAATTTGTTTAAACATACCTGAAAAGCTGGGCATGGTGGCTCATGCCTATAATCCTAGCTACTTAGGAGGCAGGGGTCAGGAGGATTACGATTACTGTTCGAAGCCATCCCAAGCAAATAGTTCATAGATCCTATCTTGAAAATACCTAACACAAAAAGGGCTGGTTGAGTGGCTCAAGGTGTCAGTCCTAAGTTCAAGCCCCGGTTAAACAAATATACCTGAAAAGCACATGGTAGGCATGGGTTATTGGATTTCATATGTAGATTAGCATATTGAGTGATAGAGCTAACATTTAAGAGTTAACTAATTCTAAAATTATGGTTCACAAGCATCTGTTAACCATTCACAGTTCTCTACTTTAAGGTAATAGGTGGTATAATCAAGCACTAATGTTTAAGCAAAATATAAATTATAACTTTTGATGCAAAGAAAATTGTACTCTAATGTCTACAATTAAATTCGTTACTTGCCTCTCCTTCACTCCTCTTGCCTCTCTCCCCCAAATAACTACAATTCTCTTTTTGACTACCTGTGATCTCTAACTACTTAAGCCTTGAGTAAGATATCATTCCTTCCCATTACTGTTTCTACTTACACTTAGTCGCTTGTAGTTGTTTCTCTCTTTTTTCTAAGTTTTAAGTTTTTTTTTTCCCCTCAAACTTCTTATTTCCCTTTACTTCAGTTCAAATCCTCTACATCTCTTTTCTGATCTATTGTGAGAAGCTTCTAACTCCAGTTCTCTCTTCCCATTCATTCTTTGCCACATCTGCTAAGTGTTGCTGTTTTGACTGTTCTACTCTGCTATAAAGTCTCAACAATATTCCACTCCCAACAGGCTAAAATTCAAGTCTCTTTGCTGGAATTTTTCTGCTCTCTCTTTTCTGGTTTTAGGGTTCCTCTGTCATCTCCTTTTCTACCACAAATTATGTTAAGCCTCCTCTGCCCCAGTATAAAACCCATCTGGACATTCCCTAAACATGTCATATACTTTCACATCCCCGTGACTACCAGTATGATACCCTCTGCCTGGAAAGTCCTTCACTGTACCCAACCTGAATGAAGACTACTCATCTTATGTCCTTTTTACCAATACTAAGCACATTCCCTTCCATAATCTGCCTCCCACCTTTTCTGTCTGTGCTTTTGGTCCACGTTCACCTCGTGTTAGTACTCCAATTCGTTCAACAAACATTTATTAGGGACCTACCATGTGTCAACAATTGTTCAGAAGACCAAGAATGCATAATCCAAATAAAATCTTAGTTCTTGATCTCAAGGAGCTCATTTTCTAGTGGAAAAAAACACAACAATGAGAAGATTTAAAGCAGTATGGATGTTCAGTGATAAAGGTTTTATATAGTACCACAAAAGCTCAGGCAGAATGAATGAGAGTTAACCAGATGAAGGAAAGGATGGAAGAAATTGCCAGGCAGAATAAACAACCTGAGCAAGGGCACAAGGAGCACAAAAGACCAAGGTTTCTGTGAGAACGTCAAACATCTTGTTATTATTGGCATGTTCAGTGTGAAAAGAGAGAGATAAGTTCAAGAAGTAAGGCACGAACCATATCATGGGCCATGTTGTGTTGTAAGTGAAGCTATACATACTAATTTCCCTGGTGTAAGCTTTTCATTGCTACAGCAAAACACTAAGTCTGGACACTTCATAAAGAAAAGAGGGTTTATTTAACTCAGAGTTTTGGGGGCTGAAAGCCCAATCAGAATGGTATCAGCTATGGTAAATGTTCCCCTGATTGTATCACATCATTGTGGGAGCACATGTGTGAAGGAGAACTAAACACTGAACAAATGAACAAAACATATATTAAGCAGGAATGAATACTATGAAGAAAAAAATAAAAGCAAGTAAGTGAATAAGTGATGGAGATGCCATTTAAATAGGGTGCACATGAACTGTAACATTTTATAAAAGACCTTACAGGAAGGTCATCCACATGGGGCAGAAGGGCATTGCAGGCTGGGAGAAGAACAAGTGGGTATAAAGGGTCTGAAACAGAAGAGTTTGTGCTCTGTTCATGGCTAGAGTGGCTGGAGTGGCAAGGAGGAAAGAGATGTAAGGGAGGCAGGAAGAGTACACCCACTTTTTTAGCACACACAAACTTCATGCAAGACCTTGGACACAGAGGCAGCTAAATTTTGGATCAGAACCTTGACTGTACATGCAAATCTATTTAGAAACCTTTTTTAAAAATTATGTATATAAAATATGTAATTATGTATTTTACACATATGCATATACATATATATATACGAAATGTCTGAATCAACTAGAATTATGATTTCATTGGTCTGGTTGATCATGGGTCCCTGTGTCTTTTCACATTTCCACTGAGTGATTCTAAAAGACAGCCAGTAAAGAGACTTTCTGACTAAATAAATTTTTCTTGAGTGGAATTAAATTGAATTTCACCAACAGCAAGTAATAGTAATTATTTAATCTTAGCAGCATAATCTTTAAGCACAACACTACTCTGGATTTATTTTGGAGGCTATTTTATTTCTTACTAGTTATGTGGCCTTATTCAAGTTTCCCAATCATTCAATCAGGTCCCCATGCAAAAAATGGCCATACTATATGCCTACTCCCACATATGCAATGTTGTGACACAATGCATAATGTACTCTGTAAGTGGAGGCTATTTGGAATTTGAAAACTGGCGTGGGAGAATTGCATGTGAGCAACATCAGAATAAAGATATTCTTAGAAAGCTATAATTATGTATGATTTCAAGATAAGGCTGATATTTCAAAAGGATTAGCAGCAGCCAGCGCTATACACAAGATTTCAGTAAGAGTAATAAAAGACTACTGGTTTCCTTCAATGGAAATACAAAGGTGCTTGGAAAAGTTCATTGATAGGATATAGGGTCATAAGATTTTAAAGCAGAGAGCACTTGACTTACCTGTTTTGTCCTTTTAGGAATCTGAAGTCCAAGAAAGATAAGGTATTTGTCCAGAGCTGCTCTGCTACAGCCAGAACCCAATTTTCATCTCCTATCTCAGAATCTACTGTTCTTTTTCCTAGTTTGCAAATTAACCAAATTTATGTTTTTGCACCCCAAAATGGGAACATATTTTTTAAACTGAAAAAAAGTAATTACAAATAAAAAGAATGTAAACAATGCCATTAAAACAGATAAAGCCAGAACTTTGTACAGAGAAATATTTGCAACATTTTATAGGTTTTTCTATCTGAAGCATTGCACAAACAGAATTCAGAAATAGTAGATATAAAAATCTACTTCATAGGATTATTCTGAGCCCTTTCTCTCCTGGACCATCAGAACACTATTTATGGGCCTAATTTAGTGACTTTTTCAGTTAAAACCTGAAGACCTAAGTGGGGAGAAGTTGCCTCCTACAGTGTGTGAGACACTCCCAGCATCCTAGGATTCCATGGCTGGGTATTCTAGAGCTTGTAAGGAGAAAGATGGTCATAGAGTTTAAAAAGGAGGAAGAAAAATGAGAATAAAAGAAATGTTACTGTTGTGATAATCACTTTATAAGGCAGTTACTTGATGATTAACATTGGAGATATTTTTGGAAGAATTATGACTTTTATGGTTTTCTAATGGTTTAAAAAAGTACCTTTTGAATAACAGATGCCACAGAAAATATGCTGTAATCTATACTCACACCAACTTTTTGCACACACTGAAAGTGGTTTTGGTGCTATTTTCCATTTTTTATCCTTTTAAAGCATCAGGAGAACCCTAAACAAGCCTTCACTAAGAACTAAGCACCTGTTAATGGCTTGTGAACATTTTTCTGCACAGAACCTCCACTGGATGGCTCCTGAGGTGTTCACACAGTGCACTCGGTACACCATCAAAGCCGATGTCTTCAGCTATGCTCTATGTCTCTGGGAACTTCTTACCGGGGAAATTCCATTCACTCATCTCAAGCCAGGTAAGACTTGCTGCACTAAAGTGTGCCTGTCTTCAGATATTCAGTGCATTTTCACAACTTGAAGAAGCGCTTTTCCCCCAAAATGATTATTCTTAGTGGGAAGGCAAAGCCTAAGAAGGTAAGTGAACAATCTTAAATTATTTTTAGATTTATGCCCAATCCAGAAAACTTAATGACTTAATTCTGTGAATTAAGACATAGGCACACATAAGTATTGGAATATTTTATTAAAGTTTAGGGTTTTGATTTATCTGTTTTTAATGCAGCAAGAAAATAACTATGTCCATGTGGCTTATGAGATAAGTAATATGGACAATGCTGAATTTACTTTTTGAGATTTGATTTTAGAAGTGCCCTTTCAATAGGTATATAGGGGGTGAGAAAGTAGTAACACAAAAATAACCTATCAAGACAAAATTACTCCTCCTAATTTGTATTACATATTGGCTACATTCTAAAAATAGGGCTTTTAAAATCAATTTTCATTGATGATATGCTTTGTACTCAGCTTACATGTAGAAAGTAGAGATAAGGAGTCTAATCAGCAGCAAAATGTACATATAATTTATGCTCAAGGTAAATTGCATTTACATCGGTCTTTCAGTTTGTGATGCTATTCTCTCTTGTCACACTGACTGGAAACTCCTTAAGGCCTATGCATCCCTAAAGCCTAGCATGCTTAAAAAGCAGTTGTCAAGTGAAATCATGCACTCATTTTAAAAGAATTATATTATAAGTTCCTGATGGGCACCTTATTTATAAAACCAGAAGGATAAAGTTAAAAAGCGATATTAGTTAAACATCTCTTTTTTAACAAGTTACCAAAATTATCATATTTATTAGCACTGATGTCCAGCTGAAAGGTCCACATATTCTTTTCAAGGTATTTCCCCACAGTGTCTGCGTATTATTCACGAATTCTATACCCTATGCATAATGTGTTGAGTACGTTGATGATGTAATCATCCTAATCTTTATATATTTCTCATAGTTTTAAGTGATGGGATTTAGCTCTTATTTTAGTATGGAAGCAATGACCCACACTAAATGTTGGTTTAGTATTGGACCAACATCACCATTTACAAGGTGATTTGCTACTGTCTCTCTGCCTCTCAGCATTCTGATAAGACAGCTGAATATATAACAAATCAGTTATAATTCTAAATGTATCATGATATATTTTTATAAGAAAGAGAGAGATCATCTTCCTTCTCCTTACCCCTTGCGTCAATCCATGTACTCCGTTCTGTTGATTTTATTTCCTAACACATCGTGGAATTATCTACCACTTACCATCACCAACCACCTTCCCAGTTCAACCCACAAACTTTCATTTAAGCTATTGCAACAGTATTTTTTTTTAAATCAAGTTTGTTGAAGTATAGCACACAGAGAAAAAAAATTACCTTCTTGGATGAATAGTTCAATGAGTTTTAGTATATATATATATATATATATATATATATATATATATATATAGTTGAATAACTACAATTTCAATCAAGATATAAAATGTTTCCCTTAGTGCCTTTTTGAAGTCAAGCCACTTCTATCTTTAACCCATGGCAATCACTGATTTGATTCCTATAGATTTTCCTTTTCCAGAATGTCATAAATGGAACCATGTTGTCACATTTATTAGATTCATTGTTTTTCATTTCTGTGTAAATATGTCTCAATTTTTTATGCATAGACATGTTGATGTCATTTGGGTTACTTCATTTTGGGGGCTATTATGATTTAAATGACTAGTTATTCAAGTCTTTGTGTGATTGTTTTCATTTCTCTCGGATAATACATGAGATAGGTTGCTAGATCTTATAAGAGTTTTTTCAAAATGTCTATACCATTTGGATTCTCACCAGTAGTTTATGAGAATTTCTATTTAAATATATAAATATATTAGCCATTTGAGTTGGGGTACACTTACATATAATTGTAGCATTATTTTTCATTTCTCTAGTAACTAATAGTGTTGCTAACCTTTTGTTATTCATATCTCTTTCTTCAGTGAAGTGTTTATTCAAATTCTCTTTACTATTTACCTGTGAGTGTTCTTAGATTCTAGGTAGAAGTCCTTCATCTCACATGTGGTTTAAAAGGATTTCCTTTAGTCTATGACTTGCCTTTTCATGTTCTTAGCAATGACTTTCAAACAGTAAAGATTTCATTTCAATTTAAAATCATTTTTGTATCATGTCCAAAATATTCTTGCCTCACTAAGACCACAAAGACTTCCTCCTTTTATACAACCTTTTATATAAAAGTCTTGTATGTTTATATTTTAAATATATATAAGATCTATTTTACATTTTTTATGGTACACAGTAAGGGATGTATTTGTTATTCTTCTGTTTCTTTTTAAATATTGATGTCCAATGATTTTAAAATAATTTGTTGAAAACATTTTCCCACTAAATTATTTTGGTGCCTTGTCAAAACTCACTTGGCACTATGTGTGTCTACATATTTCTAACTCTTCTATTTCATTGACCTGTATATCTACACATATATCAATAACACAGTATCCTGACAGCTGAAGTAACTCTTGAAATTAGTTAATGTGAATCCCATCTTTGTTATTCTTTGTCAAAATTGACTTAGCTATTTAGTTTTTTTTAATTTGATAGCATAAATTTTAGACATAGCTTGTCTTTTATTTTTATTTTTTAAAGCTTTTCTAATTGGTTTCTTTTTTATCTCTTATTGTGCTGGGTGGGGGATACATTGTGGCATTTACAAAGGTTCTCCCAATATATCAAATATATCATATCTATTTCTATTTTAAAAACTTTTTGGAATAAGGCAATATGCTGAAAACTGTTAAACAGCACAGGTTAGGAGAAAGGGCAAAGGAAGTACAGTGGAAGGAGGCTGCATTGACTTAAGCACAATGCATGTATAGATAAAATACCAAGGTAAAAATCCTAAACAATGAAGGAAAAGAATGAAAATCAGGCCACACTAAGAGAGAGCACTAACAAGAGGAGGAGGCTAAAAGAAGGAAGTAAAGAAGGGGAAAATGGATGATGTACATCTATTCAAGGATGAATACAGAATTTCTAAAGCTGTTGAAATCACCATAAGAAGAAGACTGACAAAGATGAAAGACAGAAAGGAGAAAAATGGAAGGGATGGAAATGTCATAATGAAACTCTCTGTATAGCTAGCTATCTTAAACAAACAAAAATGTCTTTTTTAAAAAAACAGAGTACAGGAAGGTAAAAGAGGCCCTGTCTGAGTTTGGTACTAGTGGGAGGGGGAAGAATATAAGGAGAGTGTAAAGCAGGGGGTGAATATGGTTGAAATATTATATATTCACATATGAAAATAGAAAATTACACCTGCTGAAATTGTTCTAATAATGGTGGTAGAGGGATAAAGGAGAATGATGGAAGGTGTGAATTTAGTTAAGATAGATTGGAAGCCCATTTGTAAGTGTCACAGTATACCCCCAGTACCATAATAAAATGATAATTTTAAAAATGTGTTGGAATTTGAATTATATTACATTGAAACTATAGATCAACTGGGGAAGAATTGACATTTTAAGTATTATTTGTTCTTCTCAACAAATATGGTATATATCTTCTTCACTTAGGTCTGCTTCAATTTATATTAATGTATTTTTAGTGTTTATTTTACAAACCTCACCCATATTTTTAGATTTATTTCTACTTGTTTCTTCTTGCTATTATAAATGCTAATTTTTAAATTTTTAACGTATAATGGTTCTTTGCTTGCTTATGGTAGCATAATTTTTAAAACAACAATCTAGTACCCTATAAACTTGTTAAATTCACTTATATCCATTCTAGTAGCTTTTTTTGTGCATTCTTTGGGATTTCTGCATAGGTGATTGTCACTTGTGAATGAAAAATTATGTTTATTTATCATGTGTCTGTCTTTTATATCATTTTCTTGTATCTGTGCACAAGCAATGGCCTCTACTACAAAGTTTAATAGAAGTGGTAAGATATATACTTCAAATCTATCTGTTTCTCATGGTTCCATCAAGTACTACCTTAGTTCAAACCATTAGCTTTATCACTTGAACCACTAAAATGACATTGACTGATCTCCCTTTGTTGATTATTGGTTCCCTTCCTCTAAAATCTCTGTACATCCACAAGAATGAAATTTAAAAATATAAACCTAGTTATATCATCATTGTTTAAAAAATTGTATGTCTTCCCAAATTCTTCAGATTAAATTTTTTAAAAATCTTAATATCTTCTGCAAGAATCTACCAGATCATTTGTCTCTGACCTTATTTGTTCCTTTTCACCCCGTGAAAATACTCCAGCCAATCCAGCCTTGTTTTAATTCCTTCATTCTAGCCTTCTGCATTCCAGTCTTTCTGTGCTCCAACCACTATGGCCTTCTTTTACTGCTTTCACTGCATTGCATTTTATCTGGCCTCTAGGCCTTTTACATGCTCAGTTTCCTCAATGGACAATTACCACAAAATGCTGTGAAGTTCCAATGAGACATTTTGTAAATTTACAACTTTTTGTAGCTGTAAGGTGAAAGATCAGAGTTACATGAAATGCAGGTTCAGGGCCTTCTTTAATTCTGTATGTAAGTACCATTTAACTCTCCAGGAAGACTATGTATGAACCCCAATTCATACATAGTCTTCATCCTCTTCTCTTTCCTTCTTATCTTTCTTTCCTCCCCCTTTCCCTCCTTGCTTTCTTTCTTTTTTTTTATTTTCAATCCTACTTCCTAAATTATTTCAAATCCAACCACTTATTCCATTTCCACTACTTCTTCCTCATTTCACATGTAGTATATGACACAATATATTATTGTCCTCCAGTGCAAAATACTGCCCGCTATCTTAAATGATATCCTTGTCTTCAATTTTGCTCACCATCTTTGTTTCCACCAATTGCTTGTTTTAACTTTCTAAAATTTCTTATTTAGTCATAGAGCTTAAAATCCCTGAGGATTTTTCTTTGCTCTTAAACTAAAAACAAAATTTCTTAAAACAATCT